TTTTTTTTATTTTTTTTTATTTTTTTTTAGATACGAACTGATAAATATGACTCTAATTCCTGTATGACAGACACTGAGACCGCGGCCATTACTGTGGCTTCAGCATCATCTGACACGTGGAAGACCTATCCAATCAGCAGCCGTCCATTGCCTTCGGTCAGCGACTTTTTGAACCTTAACTCATTAGATCTACACCACGTATCATTCGCAATATCATATTTATTTAATAAAAAGCAAAATAAAATGAAATTTCTAAAACGAGGAAATTATTTCCGGGAGCAGACACGATCTCTTCCCTTCTTCTGCAAAACCCTTCCGGATAATCTCCGGTTGGAACTAGGGTTTTTCCCCGTTGAACCAGGCGCTTCACGTTCGTACAGCGGTGATTTTGACTTGACGAAGGTACAGAGCTTTCATCTTTATGTTTCCTTGTCTCTTTCTGGTACAGTTCATTGTTAGTTGCTGTTTAGCTGACATAGGGATTTGCGGTTCGTTCCTAGGGTTTCTTAATGTCTATTAAAGCTGATCAAATTGACTTGAATTCCGACGCCTCTTTGGTTGACCGAGAAAACGATAATGAGGTTAGTGTTGCGGAAACTGTACATGTAGTGGGTGTTTCTGCGGATGAAACCCTAATGGGTTCTGGTGACGGTAGTGTTCAGGTCCAGGAGCAAATGGTTGAGCAAGGTGGGGGCTTTGAAGGGGCTAATGAGTCAGTTGGTGGAGATGAGAAGAGTGATCTAGTTGTTGATACTTTGGGAAAGATGAGGAAAATGGAGTGTGTGCGTTCAGGTATTGATTTATTAGCTGAGGTTGGATCTATGGGCAAAGAGGCTGATGGTAAAGGCGGCGATGGGGATTCATTGATGAAGGGTGAAGGAGCAGGAATGAGTGAATGTGAACAGGGTATTTCCATACCAAATGAGAAAGAATTGGCAACTATGGAAATTGATGAGAAGCCTTCAAGTGTAGAAGAACATGACATCAACGTTAATACGTGTCCTGTTGTTGGATTGAATTCCATTGCTGAGGACAGCATTCAACTAGGAAATGCTTGTGATGCAGGTTCTTTGTCTGGTGATTTTGATCCTAATTCTTCAGTATTAGGTTCTACTGACTCCTTGCCTTCTAACACTTGTGTCCCAGAGGAGGGATCTTTTGGTGGACCCGAAGATCATGCTATGGAAATTGATAACCAGTCTCAGATCAATGAAAATCAAACCCAGGGCATTCAGAGTTCAAAAGATGGTGTTTTTGAGAACAATGGAAACAGGCCTGATCAATTTGATCTAGTAGAAAAGTTGGATCCTTATACAAACCCACCTGACGATCTGTCAGGTGATGCAAACAATCCAGAGTCCAGTGCCTCAAAACCAGAATTTTGTGTCTCTGATTTAGTGTGGGGTAAAGTCCAGAGCTATCCCTGGTGGCCTGGGCAGATATTTGCACCTTCAGCGGCCACAGCAAAGGCAAAAAAATATTTTAAGAAAGACTGTTACTTGATTGCATATTTTGGTGATCATACATTTGCTTGGAATGAAGCATCTCGAATCAAACCCTTCCGTCCCCATTTCTTACATATGGAGAAGCAGAGCAGTTCAGAAGATTTTCAGTATGCTATTGATTGTGCTCTGGAAGAGGTTTCTAGAAGAATAGAGTATGGACTGGCCTGTTCTTGCATCTTAAAGAAAGCATACTCTTCTGTCCAAACCCAGACAATTGTTAATGCTGGAATCCGGGAAGAATCAAGTAGAATAGATGGTGGGGACAGATTTTCAAATGCAACATCATTTGAGCCTTCACAACTTATCAAATATATAGAAGGCTTAGCCCAGTCGCCATATTATAGTGGGATTAATAAACTGCAATTTGTAGCCTCACAAGCACAGTTGCTGGCATTCTATCGTTGGAAGGGTTACTCTCAGTTGCCTGAGTTCAAAATTCTTGGTGGATTGTTGGAGAGTGATGCAGATATCCAGCTCTCCGAGGAAGTAAAGCAATGCAGCAAAGAGGATGAAAATGCTTTTCCCAGTTCCAAAGTTGATCAAGTGTCCACTGGAGATGGGAAGCCTGAGGGTCAAGATGGTTCTTCTGATAAGCAAAGGAACAGTGGAGACAGTTTGTCTTCCAAAAAGGAGAAAAGCTTGTCAGATTTTCTAGCAGAGAGGCGCTTGAATATTAAAAATGGTAAGAAGGGATTAGGTGGTAAAGCTGGTGATAAGTCCATTTCTGTGTTCTCCAGAAGAAAACGCAAGGCTGTTGATACCTTGTCTGGTGATTTGGCCCCCGTGGTGAAACATATGAAAAGTAATTTGTCTGACGACTCAGCACCTG